AGACTTGTCATTATCCTCCCTTGTATTTATCCATATGTTGTAGTTATCCTAATCATTATAGGATTAGGATAATCATCCCCTTTATTGTTGTAATCCTTATCTCCTAAGGAATATGCTTATTCTCTTGTATGTATATATATGTATGTGCACGTGATGAATAAGATATACATGTTACAACCTTCTTCTTTATTCTTTAACATTCATCTTATTCTAGGCTTTTTTTTTTACTTTCTTTAATGACCCAATTGGTCAATCTAGGATACCTAGGGATTTTTCAGGTGAGGAGAATATCTAGGGATTATTCTTTTGGTATTTAGAGCCATTTACTTGACGAACTAACGCGCATCAATTATTTTGTTGAATGAAATTAAGTTTGGTGAGTTGAATTATTACAATCAAATTTATAATTGAAGTAATATAATGAATGTGTTGAAATTTGTGCTCCGTAATTAGACTTCCATTTCTAAACAACTATGACAAATTCTACAACGAACAAAATTCCATAAGAGACAAAGATATAGAAATAAACTTCATTTTAATATATTAATATCTAAAATAAAATTTCACTATGACTACCAGTTTGGTTTACAAAATAAAATAAAATAAAATTTCAACACCTTTTTCAGAGGTGATATGCTGCTCTTTCTACGTCGGGTGAAGATTTTGCTCTTTTATAAGAAGATGGTTGAATAACAGTATCTAGTATTTTAAAGCAAGTGAGGGTTCCTACAATTTGTTTTTATTTAAATCCTAAATTGTGATAATTCTATCACTTCACCTTTTTTCTTACTGCATTCAGCAACGCAATACATATAAAAAAAATGAAACCCCTAAATCTCACTGTGATTTATAATATATGATGTTTCATTAGCAGAATATACATATAAATAAAGTAGTATACATACAAGAGATGACTAATTTTTTAGTAGATCAATTAGAGGAAATTTAAGAGAGATCGATTTAAATAGTGGAAGAATCCATCCTTTATAGATTCTCTTGCTTACGTCTCCATGGAATCACTTGCTTAAACCCTTCGTAAACCCTTTCCTGCATTTTTAAATAAAGAATAATTGGGTTACTCAATTACTTCCTCCCCATACCCAAAACAAATGTTTTATAATTATTTATAAGATTGTAATAATGGAAGATTTTTTTTGGTTGCCAAAATAGACATTAATAAAAAATAATCTGTATAGCTCAATCTAAATCAAAACTTAAAAGCCTTTAATATTGTAAAATAAAAGTACGTAACTTTTGAATTTTTGTTCAGCTGAAAAAAAAACAATACTTACCCAGAACTCTGACTTTGTTGCATGAGAGAGGTTAAAAAGGTTTCCTTTCCTTTTTAGTCTAAAAAGTTTCGCTTTTGTACCGCCGTCGCCGGAGAAATCACTTACTCCTCCGGTCCAACCCTTCCGGCAATCACAGCCACCGTCTCTAAAACGTGAAAAGTCGAATATACCCTCGGACACGTCTTTACATTTCCCGAAACTTCCCCATCTACTAGACCCAAACAATCTCTTCTCCTTCGCCGGCACCGGCGCAGGGACACCTCTCAACTTCCTTACTACATACGCTGATCTCGGAAGCGACAGCGAACGGTGACGCAAATCGTACGGACCGTCGAGAACAGTGGTCGGAGAAGGCTCGTTTTCCGATTTGCAAGACTCTACAGGCAAAAGCAGTCTCGGAGGAAGGTCCAAGCTTCTCCCGACGGCTCCTCTTTTTTCTCCGGCGCGATTCGATCTCGGCGGTTTTCTAACGGAAGAGCGAGCCTTTGGCTTTCCCGGAGCTTCTTCCCATAGAAAAGGAACAGATCCGCCGATGTTAACGGGCGGTGTAGCTGATCCCGGAGTTTCATATGGCATGTTCATTGGATATGAAAACAGAGGAAGCTTAGGCGTGGAACAGAACCGATCTTGGTACTCTTTAGTAAAACCCATATTGTTTTTGTGTTCTTGTAATGAAACCCAATAATGTTTTTTTGACGTTATATGAAATGAGTTGGGTTTAAATAGGCAAAAGAGAAAACCTTTTTAGGAATTGGATTCATTTGAACATGAAAAAGGAAAAGTTAAGGAGGATGTATAATGGTAGAGAAGACATGAAAGAGAAGAAAAGAAAAATAAATAAATGAATTGAATTTAAATATTAAATAAACGAAACGCTCATCTTGTGCTTCTTGTTCACGAGAGATGGGAATGAGAACGACTTGTTAATTAAGTACTTTCACTATCACCTATGATAATTTGAAACTTTTGATGATTAGGTTACAAAACGGTACATTTTGTGGGCATTTCATCATTATCACTACATACACATGCTTTGTGTTTAGGCAATGTAGTCTTTTGTTACTTGGAATAATAAGAGAGAAACATAGAAGAGAATATTGTTGGGTGAGAATTAATAAAGGTAATCCTTGATGGACGTTGACAAGGATGTGTTGATGGACAAACGGTCAATTTGGTTTAGGGATTGAAAAAGTCAAAGGGAGCTCTTTGTTTGTTCAATCACTCTCTCTGTTTGTCGTTGCATCAGTTATGTTTGTGGTGACTTTTTGTGTAAAAATGGGTGATGCGAAGATTAGGAGTATCATGCGAATGCCCTGCCTCTTCGCCTTCTCTTGCTTTCATCTTCCATGCACATATATATACTGATGTACATTTACGTTATATATTATATTAACTGTCCTATGGGCGGGATATACTTTTATTATGATAGAAATTACTATTTTTTTGAACTCACCAATTAATTATCGTTAACCAATTCAATGTTGTACAAAAATCTTATCAGTTTCCACACAAGAATTTAACCATAGCGGTACAATACAATATAACTTAGGGACAAATTACTACTTTTATATGGTTTTGTGGTTTGTTGTGTAGGTTTACATTTGCAAGAGATGTATATGATAACTTTTTTTTTTAGAAAAGATTATAGTGGTAAGATATATTTTGTGTATCTATAATAGTTATTTCTATATTGAAGAGTTCTGACATTGATATGTTGTGAGAGCTTCAAATGATCTCATGTTATTTCCTTGAAAAACATTTGATTACATATTCAATGTCAAAATAGTTTCGTTTTTCTTAATATTAATTCTTTTATAGATTAAGTAAAGATTGTTTTTTAATTAATCTCATACATTGATTTTTAGAGTCATTAATCTGAAGTGAATAGTTTTGGAAAATTTAAATTATTTATGTTACAATTAGAATAAAAAGCAAAGAAAAACACACTTGTTAAATATTTAATCGTATGTTTAAAAAGAATCTTGAACAACAATCTTTCATGAAACTTCTATCTATGCAGAGTAAGTAAATTATGATTTTCTCTTTTTAGAATTTTTTCTTTGTTTTTAAATTTTTCTACACTATCACCTTTGTGTATTTTATAACATTTTTTTCTAGGTTAAAATAAAAAATAGCCCTAGAATACTAAAATATAATATATATCTCTAACATCTTTCAGTTTTAATTAACTTTTCAAAAAATATGCAAGTCAAATGAATTACATTTACTTACTATGGGTTGGTAAATAGGTGTATTTGGTTTAACAAATGTTTTTATTGGGAAAGATTTGATTATATATGTGGCTTAAATTATTATTTTCATGATTACCTTTTTTCTTAAATTTTGGTTAAAATGGTTTGACGTTGAATTTAATCAAATGGTTGAGATATTCAAGGGGAATGTGTTCTTCTTAATTTTCAGTATCAAAATTAATTTTTAAATCAGTATGAAATTATACTATTTTTTTTTGGAATTCATGACGTATATACATTTATTTGCATATAATATCATTAGTCTTTGTTACATCATGAAAAAAATATTTATTTATCTTGTTATGTTTAATTTTGCATTTCATATATCTTATTACGTTAATTTTTGTTGTTGTCATTTTCTTTAGATCTAGTTGTTTATATTGTAAGAAAAAGTTATCTCCTTACTTTCACAGAAAATCAAATGAAAAACAGAAAAAAATCACAATTTATACATTGGTATACTATATTATTTTTAATTTTTTAGCCAATTTTCTTTCGGTCACTACACCGAGCATAGAGAGACAAAGATGGCTAGTCATATTTATCTATATATATAAAGTATAGTTTCCTCCATTCTTATAGTACCATGTCATTGAATAGTTTCCTCTCTTTTTATAGTTCTTTGTATAAGACTTCCCAAAATCTGAGAAGATAGAATTCGAAGAATGAGAAATAAGAGAAGAAAATACAAGATGAGAACATACTTTTCACACATGAAGATTGATCAAGTGGAAGAGAAGGTAAATACAATAAATAAGAAATTGTTGTAAGAGTGGACGTTAAGATGGTCATTAATGACTATAATTGATTTAATCTTGTAACTGTTCAAATTCCCTTACACGAAATAAAGAAATTCATTCTAAAATCAGTTTATAGCTCCAGAAATTAGTCGGAGAGAAATAATCTTCCATCTTTAATAAACTCGATAATCAGTAAAGTAAAGGTAAAGAAGACGAAAAGCCTCAACAAGTCACAATAGATTTAGTTGAAGACGAATAGGATTATGAGTTTGATTCGTAAAATTCACATATAAAATCAAAACATACAAATTTTTTAAAAAACATATGTTATTATTACATAAATTTAATTAGTGAAGTGGCACTCTTAAAAAAAATTCTACTTTATATAATAATATAAGATAAGATATATAAACCGCAAGTTGTTTGTTGGAATCTATCAAATAGATATCACTTCTTCAAGCATTTCATTAGGAAATTAGGTCAAAACTCAAACACTATTTCTAGAAATGAAACGACTGTAAATTTTTAAGCGAGTTTATTTTCACGAAATTATACTGTCTTGTATTTTTTTCACACTTGCATTATTAGCCTCAACAAGCACAGGCAAGAACAAAATACCTTCTAAACTAAACTAAAGGTCGAACCAACACCACAACTTAATTTAGACTTTACAAATGAATTTACATTTTCTTTATTTTACCATAAATATTAGACATTATTTTGTATAAAATAATCTCATGTATTTTATGTGCTATGAGTTTTGCTTTCCTTTATATTTAAACTAGAAGACGAATACATTAATTTTCTCTTTAAACCATATAAAATTCTTTTTACGAACAAAATAGAATCTGCGCTTTAAAGCCTGATAATATATTTTAAAAATATATAATTTGATAAAAAGAAATTATTTTTTTGGTGTATATGATAAAAATATATATTTTTACTGCTTTGTATTTATATTAGATATAAAACATATAACAATATTTTGTTTTATAATCCGTACTACAAATTCTCACAATGACCTTTTATAAATATATGTCTTTTATCTAAAATATTTCTGATATATAAAAAAATTATTATAAAATTTAGTTAATATCGGGTTATTGATTTTAACATCTTATTTATATATTGTCTTTAATTTCTTATGATTTGTTTTACATGAATGTGTTTCATATATAGTAAGAATACAAATAGACTAATCTGTTATTAATTCTCAATAAATTATATCAGTTTTAATCAATGTATTAAGATTAGAAAATTATTAAGAAAATGAAATCTAATATTTTATATTGTTCGGACACAAATTTTGTTATTATATTGTCTGTACACATTATTAGTAGTACCATGTTGTTTAGATAATTTATCTTAATGAATTCATTATTTTTATTAATTACTAATGACGTTTATGTAATATTACGCATGACTTAAAGTTATATCCAATGTAATTTTCTGTTTTGATAAAATAGATTGGTCTGCTTTTTAACAAAGAAGAAAATATTGTACTCAATGAAGGTCAAAACTCATTTGTGTCAATCAAATATAAGGTCGTCAAAGCTTATATTTTCACGGAATTTGCGATCCTTACACATTATTATCATGATTACAAGTCAAATATATAGTACTATATAACTAATATGTATAAGTATAATATGTGTTTATGAATTTGGAAGTGAAAATGACAGGAGACTCCTGTTTTATTTTTTTGACAGGAGTCACAGGACTCATGTTTAACTAGTGGAATATCTTTTTGCATTTCGAGTTTTACTCGGACACGGGATTATAAATTTAGCATCGGGTATATGTCAAAACTTTTAATGAAAAACAATAAAAGAAGTGGGTTGCGTATATAGGCTTCATAGCTCAAACATTTTAATTTTCCTAGTTTTTTTTTTGTAAATAGGCATTTAAATAGCTAAAACATTTTAATTATTAAAATCAGAAAGTATTAATATAGTGAATTAGTGATATATAGAGAGAATTAAATCAAGATGACAAGTGAATGGATTCATCCCGGAGATGGAAATATAAATGCCATAGTTCAGATTTTCCAACGTAACTACGATTTTAGTTATGGTTGATTATTATTGTATATACGTAACAAGTTCTATCTGACGTTGTTCATGATCCAAAGATTAGTATGAGTTGGTTAGCAAAAAATAAAAGATTAGTATGAGTTTCTGCTTGGGATTTTCCGTTGTAAACAGAAGATCATGAAAAGCAAGTCATGTTGATAAATGGTATAATTAAGTTGAGGATAAATGCTCTTAATTAAACATGTTTAGGTTATGAGAATTGAGAGGCCACTCACGTTAGTCAAATGTTACTTTCTTCTCTCAAACTTTTATATAAGGTAATACGAAATGGAATATGGAATCATAAAGATAAATAATAACCATAAGGATGTGATTTTTATTTTTTTGGTTACTTGGGGTCTATTTCGTTTTTTATTATCATAAAGCAATTTGGTTGCGTTTACGAAACGTGAAGTGTTCAAATAAATTTGTGAAGTATATGGAGAAAATATGTATTGCTATCCTAACCAAAAGTACATAATTTTTAAAGTTTTTTTTGTTTTAATAAACTAGGATACCTGGACCTAAATTAAAGAAAATGTTACTTTTTTGTAAACACGAACATATAATTCTCCTTTGTCCTATGTTGTAAGTTAAAAGTTTTT